GCTCATTCATGGCCGATTTTGACAAAAATTTTATTGGCCCCCAAAAAAAGAATATTTATGTAAAATTGTCTTCAATCGATCTTATCTAAATTATCCAAATATTAAAAGTCAAATTCACGAGTCCACTATGTCCTTTATCATTTTCTTTTTTTTTCTTTTTTTTCCAAAAAAAATTAATTTAATATTAATTTCCATTTAATTAAAGTGGGAGTTAACTTCATTTTTGACCTGATCCTACACTGTTGTCTGTATCGTAGATCCCATATTGATAAGTTTATTTGTAAATTTATTTATGCTGAAATTCTATGTAAAAAAATATATTGTTTTATTAATAGTGATATATATATGGTGTAGTTTTTATATATTTAATAATATTATAAATTTTTATTTTATTTTTTATTTGAACAATAATTTGAATATAATATTTTATAAAAAAAAATAATTCTAAATTTTATTAAATCAACATATTATATATATATATATATTATATTTATGGAGAATTATATGCTAAAAAATAAGCTCAGTGAACTTTATCCATTTGACCTAATATTTTAAGAATCTTTAAAATGTAAGACACGGAACTTCAAGATTGTATTTTTCATATGTAATTTTGTTTCATACTTTTATTTTGATTGTTTTTTTAATAATGATAAATTTTTTATATTTTTTTAAAAAACATAATAATAATATATTTTTTTTATACAATTCCATAGTTTACAAAAAATAGTAAGAAAATTTCAAAACAACTTAGTCTAAAATAGTAAGAAAATTCGTAGCTTTTAATATCTGAGTCAATAATTTGTACCAAACCTCACTCACTATTTAGACGTAAAAATTTCAAACCATTCACATTCACATATGTTTTTTTTTTTTTTTTTTTTTTTTAAGTATTTCTAACTTTTTTTTCTTTTTTCTTTTTTTGGCAACACATATATAATTATACAATATATAATTTTTTTTTTAATTGAAAATATTTTGATCTCTTTAAAAACATTTCAATTTATTTAAGCAATATTTACAAAGATAATGGGTTTGTTGTTTGAATTTTGATTTAACTAATAGTAATTTTGATTAGAGTTAAGAAACTAAACATTCGTTTGTATTAGATAGAAATAAATAAATAAATAAATAATATTAGATAATTATACATGCTCGAATATCTTCAAATATAAGCTGTTGTTACAGCCCTTAATTTTAAAATTAATCACTGAACTAACATACATAGAACGCATTATTTATATTTATATAATATAAATACAACGCATTATATAGTTTCACATATCACAATACCAGTTAATTTTAGCACATAGACATATTCTTATCCAACATACTTGTAATTATGAACAGACTATATATTTTTATTACACACATGTGCTAAATTGAAAATTTAATACGGCGTTATTTTATCCTTCATATATATATATATTTATGCACGTTTCTTTCTTTCGAATCATAGTTTTATGTTAAAAGTGATCCTCACTTTTGTTGCATATTTAAATAAAGATGCCCGATAAGATAATAAATTTATGTTACTATCATTATTTTTAGATTCTGTATATATAAATATTTTAAAAGTTTTTTAGAATTTTAAAAATAATAAAATTAAGTATATAATATAATATTTTATGAGAGAAAATAAACATTTGATATAATATATATATTTTAAAAAATATACAATAAATAATGCAATTTTTTTTTTTAAAAAAAAAATGTAAATAAATTACAAGAATGTTTGGGCACGGAACAAAATGATATACCAAGATATTATTTAATACATTTCTATAACTACACACATTAGCTAAAATATTTCCAACTTTATGAAGTTTTTATCTAAATACTCATTTCGGGAAGTGTATTTGATTTATATATATATATATATATATATATTTATATTAAGATAGAAATTTGATGTAATATTCTATAAAAATAAGTAATACATTTTTACAGAGAATAATGAAGATTACATGATAATAAAAAAAAGTACTTCATCCATCCGCAAGAAGGTTGCTATGATCTTTTTGCATATTGATTTTTTAATATTAATTATTATATCAATACGCAATAGAAATAAAAAAAAAGTAAAAATACTTTTATTAGTCTCTTATAATACAAATAGAATGATATTTTTCGAGTAAATTATTCAAATATAAGGATATTTTTAATGTTAAATACAATGACACAAAAATCAAATGACAACCTTCTTACGGACCGAGATAGTATTATTTATTTTTTTAAAACAAGTTGAAAGTGTTTTAACTTATATTCTAATTTAGTATGCTATTTTTCGTTTATTGTTTTTTAAAATAAAATAGTAATATTAAATATAATATTTTGAATAAAATATTAAAATTTAATTAGTCAATACATGACAGTAGTCCACATAATACATATAACACAATTTATATATCAATATAATATAACTCAAAATATAAATATATATTATATGACAATAGTCCATACAACATATATATTAGTGTTGATTTAAGTAAATATCACGTATTAACAAAACATAATATATATATATGGGTAAACTGTTTTTTTAGTCATATAACTGGACCTCCTTATCATTTTAGTCCTCTAAGTGGAGTCTGTCGCAAACTAGTCCCATAAGTGAAGAATTTTCGTTGTTTTAGTCTTCCGGCGCCGGAGACGCCCGCGTGGCTTGCCGGAGGTGACGTGTCCGTCAGGTCAGCGACACCTGGCGGATACGTGGATTTTTAATTTTTTTTCATTTTTCTAAATTATTTTTAAAACTTATTTTTAATTTATTTTTAATTTTATTTGTATTTTTTTATTTTTTTATTTGGTCCAATTAAAAAAAATAAAAAAAAATGGAAAAAAAATAATAAATCCACGTGTCCGTCAGGTGTCGCTGATCTGGCGGGACATCTGGCGGACATGTCACCTCCGGCGAGCTACGCGGGCATCTTCGGCGCCGGAGGACTAAAACAACGAAAAATTTTCACTTATGGGACTAGTTTGCGACATGCTCCACTTACGGGACTAAAATGATAAGGGGGTCCAGTTACGGGACTAAAAAAACAGTTTACCCTATATATATATATATACTTCACCGTCATGCAAATGTGTGCTCATTTGACCGGACATGAGTTTTATAAAAATGAGTAATAATAGTTACTTTTTCATTTTATAGTAAAAAAATGTACAAAAATATAATAATTTTTTACTTAAAAAGGTAACGAAAATATTTTTCAATGACAACCCAAAAAAGAAAGTGAGGATAAATTTGAATGATGGATGAAGTATAACTGTTAATATAGTAATGATATGCACACTATATTATAATGTAATAACTAAAAATTCATTAATATTTTATTGATTTAACTTCAATCGGTAACCTAATCAAAATTAGACTGAACCCGTTTGTTGTCGTGTTTGACCAATAAAAAAATGCATAAGTTTGACCAATCAATTTCATACTTAAAAATTTGTTTTTCGAACACATATGCGTAACATGTGAACATGTGGCACGTTTGATTGTCACACTAATAATAATAATACAACAATAACAAATGTAATTACATCATTGTACATCAATTTTATTGCAATTTTTTTTAATTAGTTAGTACCTATCTTTTCTTGACTAGGAAAATTTGATAACATGGTCAAATTGCTTATGTGGGCTCACTACCAAGACCAAATTAATGCCATATATTTTTATTTTATTTATTTACTATTCTTTCTATTTTCTTTTATAGAAAATAAAATAATAAAAAAAATCTGCACTTCGCTTTAACAAATTCACTTCACTCAGGAATCTTCTGAGACAGCCGACAGGTTAGAAGACGACAAATGTAAATAAATAAATAATCAAATGTATTTATTGTAACAACAATATTCAAAAAAATAAAATAAAATACAAATTCAAAGTCACAAAAATCTGCATTACAGGTCACGCCCAAAGATTCGATCCCATTACCCAATTGGCAGATAATCTTAAATATGGAATATAGGCTCATTTTTAAAAATAATTTAATGATATACACAAATTATTAAAATCATAATACAACAATAATATAATAAAATTTTATTTAATTTGATCTGTGTGACAGTGGCGCAGAGACGTGCGTTGACCATAAATTACAGTTCATAGCCGTCAACTATGAAGAAAAAAAAAAAAAAAAGGGTCGAGACTCTCGATTTGCAAATAAATAAATTAATTATATATTTTTTTAGCAGGTTAACTTTTTTTTGATGAAATGATCATTCTGTGCATCCGATATTATATCAGAAACCTCTCGAGTTCGAATCTCACTAATATGCAATGTTTAATGTGAATTAGTGAAATTTTATTTAATCATTCTAATTTTTTATATTTTTATTTTTTTTCTAGAGATAAAGACTAATCTATTTTAGTTAATCAAAATCGACTAAGGCATGAGAGTAAAGTAAAATATACATGTGTAACGTTGATATTTATACAAGATTAATATTTTATTCATAAATCTTTGAAATTTTATAAATGATTCATTTATTTTCTTTTAAATAAATAATTAATAAAAAAATTAATATATTACTCCATCAATCCCACTTCTAGTATCTACCTTTTCATTTTCGTCTTATTTTGTTACTTTTATTTTCTGGAAAAAAATTATACAATTTAATCTTATTTAAAAAATTTAATTTATAATTTTTTGAATTTTAATTATACTAATAAGTTATTTTAATCTTAATTTATAATTATTTTTATTATACAAATAATTATTTTTACTGATACATTTTTAATTATTTATTAATTATATTTCTTCTAAATTACAGTGACAAAATATTCGGAAAGGAGTATTTCAAATCAATTCCAAACTTTTAAATAAATTATAAGTTGTTCACTGGAAATTTTAAATAATAATTATTGAAAAAAAAAAAAAAAAAAATCATTCAACTATCTAAGTGCACGTGTAGCATGGGCTGTGGCTTTTGTGGGGCCCATATTTAACTTTCTTTCTCTATATAGCCTCCAAATTTTCGGACACAAACAAACAATACTCAGAATTTTTCTTACAAAACAGTCCTCTCTCTCTCCATCTCTATCTCTCTATGTGCTTGTACTGATCATAAGGTTTCTTAGTTGATATAGTATATATACAAACAGACAGGCTAAAAAGGTATATATATATAGAGAGAGAGAAAGAGAGAGCGATGGCCGGCGGCGGATTCGCGACGGCGGCGTCCGGCGGCGGGACGGAGTTCGAGGCGAGGATTACTCCGATCGTCATAATTTCTTGCATCATGGCGGCCACCGGCGGTCTAATGTTTGGCTACGACGTCGGCGTTTCAGGTCTCCTTTTTAAAATATGTATTTAAATATTTTAAAAATTAAAATATATATAATTTTATTAAAAAATAGAATTTGATATAATATAATGTATTCATCTGTAAAGTTACCTTTCATTATATTTAATATTAAAATTTTTTGATTGATTTGAATAGAGTAAGCTCGTGTTTTTTTTTTTTTTAACTATTTAGAAATTTTTAAATTTTTTATTACTATTAGTTATGGGTTACTATTAAAATATTTTATATGAAAAAAACAGTATATATATATACATATATGACATTTTATATGATAAAAATTTGTCGAACATGCCCCTTTCAGTCACTTAATAAAATAAGTCATTTATTAGAGTAATAGTTAGTATGAATGATCGTCTCATCTAAAAATTCAATCTATTAAAAAGATATATCTATTAATTATTTATTTGCAAATAAAAATAATTAAGAATCTAAAATATCAAACCCAATAAATTTTAAAATAATAATGAAAAATACACTTATAGATTAGAAATATATATATACAATTTTCGTATTTATTTTAAAGTGGCAATTCTTGTCTAGGAGATGTGGTACATCTACAGGTGTAGTTAGTTAGGCAAAAATTAAAGGCGCGTGTGCTTGCGTTTATTTATTTATTTATAATATTTTGAAATTATTATTATTATTATTATTATTATTATATTTTTTTTTAAAATTAATAAAAATAATGACAGGTGGAGTGACATCCATGCCTGATTTTTTAAAGAAGTTCTTCCCAGTGGTGTACCGGAAGACCCAAGATCCGGGACTAAATAGTAACTACTGTAAGTACGACAATCAGGGCCTGCAGCTCTTCACCTCCTCGCTGTACCTGGCCGGATTGACGTCCACATTCTTCGCTTCCTACACTACCCGGAAACTTGGCCGGAAACTCACCATGTTGATCGCCGGAATATTCTTCATCGCCGGCGTCGTCCTCAACGCCGCCGCGCAGGACCTCGCCATGCTCATCATCGGCCGGATTCTTCTCGGCTGCGGCGTCGGCTTCGCCAATCAGGTACGTCGTTTTTTTTTTTCCGTTTTAAATTTTCCGGCGACCGGCGGGACTTTCTGATATCGTTTTGGGAGGGTGAATCTACACCGTTGAAAAGTATTGGGTCCAACGGAAGGTTGATAATACACGTGTCAATGTTTGATAGGACCAAGTTTTTTGAAGCGTGGACGTTTCAGTGCCATTCATTTCTTGCCACGTTTTAACGGCCAAATAATTGTGTTTTTTTTTTTTAAGGAAAAATCAATTGAAATTGAAAGTATTCTCTATTGATTTTAATTGCATTATAAATATTCATTCCGTCCCACATAATTTGTTTATATTTTTTCTTTTTATCAGTTTTACATAACTTGTTCTTTTTATTTTTGAAAATATAATTATCCACTTTAATCGCATTTTAAATTTTATAATTTTTTTTAATTTTAATTAAACTATTTACTTATTTTAATCTTAGTCTATAATTATTTTTACTAAATAATAATTATTTTTACTAATGCACTTCTTAATTAATTACTAATTATATTTTACTTAAATTTCCGTGTCTACAGTAATACACCCATATTAAATGGGATGGAGGAAGTATATAAAAATTAATACGAGATCTTGGTTGTGGTATTCTGGTTTTATGATTTTCTAAATTTTTTTTATTAGTCAATGAAAATTCGGAATATATTATACAGAACAAATCTCATATTTATAATATCAAATACATAGAGTTTGTTTATTTTCATAAATTTGAAAAATTAAGTTTGGTATTAAAATAAAATACGATGAAATATCTTGTTAAAAAAATATATATATTTTTTTTAAAAAAAAAAAAACAAGGTTGAAATAATAAAAACTTTGGTCTTTTTGGTATAAAGAAAAACATCCTTACTTTTTTACTTAAATTTTAAATCTAAAAAAAATAAAATAAATCAAAAGCTATGTCTAAAGATGGTTGTGTTTATATAAACGTTTTTTAGTTTTTTTTACTATTTATTAACATTATTTTTTTAAAAAAAATATTATATCAAATATATATTCTTTTCGTTATAATTCAAAATATTACTTTTATCATTTTCATTTATCAAACTGCAAAGTATTTATTTTATATTTTAGAAAAATTAATCATTCATTAATACTAGAAATACTCTTTAATTTTTATTTAAAGTTAAAAAGTAAAAATGTTAAACTCGTATAACAATAAAATATTACTCCCTCCGTTTTTATTACCATGTCTACTTTTCCATTTTCGTTTGTCTCACTTGTTCTGTCATTTTATTTTTATTTTTTGAAAAAGATATTATATATTTTAATCTCAATTTAAATTTTTTAATTTTAATTAAATTAGTTAGTTATTTTAATTTTTTATTATAAAATAATTATTTTACTAATATATTCTTAATTATTTATTTAATTATACTGCTCTTAAATTCTCGTGTTAACAATAAAAGAAATAGTCGAGACTGAAGAAATATTTTCTCCGTCCACCGCCTATTTTTTTCACGTAGATTTTAGTATATTAGTATTATATAGATATGTGGTAAAATAGATATATATATATATATAAAGACTATTATACTCTTTAATATTTATGATATTAAGTGGTGTTATTTGATAATATTTGTTTAATATTATATAAAGGCAGGGTAATTTTATAGTTTAATGAAAGATACATTTATTAAAAAAAGAAACATATACATTTGCCATATACAAACTAAAATATCAAATTGGTAATGGACGGAAGGAGTATTATTTTTTAATTAATTATAAATTTAAAAAATACCCATTGAATGACTTAGAGAGTATTATTATTGTTGTTATTATTATTATTATTATTTCTTCTTAACAGATTTTCCCAACTTTTCGTTGACTGGTCTGAACAAATCAAAAATAAATTGTGCAGGCAGTGCCGCTGTTCTTATCAGAAATAGCGCCGACAAGAATCCGCGGCGGTCTCAACATTTTGTTCCAACTCAACGTCACCATCGGAATCCTCTTCGCCAATCTCGTCAACTACGGCACCGCCAAGTAAGTAATACTTTTTAATTCCAATTAATTAATTATTAATTATGACATCATCACTACGCAATAAATAAATAAATAATTCCCATTAATTACTTCAATTAACATGACCCACCAGAATCAAAGGGGGTTGGGGGTGGCGCGTGTCCCTCGGCCTCGCCGGAATTCCCGCCGGCCTCCTCACCGTCGGCGCCCTCCTCGTCGTCGACACTCCCAACAGCCTTATCGAGCGCGGCCGCCTCGACGAGGGCAAATCGGTCCTAAAAAAAATCCGCGGTACGGACAACGTGGAGCCGGAATTCATGGAGCTGGTGGAGGCCAGCCGGGTGGCGGCGGCGGTGAAGCACCCGTTCCGCAACCTGATGAGGCGGCGAAACCGCCCGCAGCTGGTGATCGCCGTCGCGCTGCAGATCTTCCAGCAGTTCACCGGAATCAACGCGATTATGTTCTACGCGCCGGTGCTGTTCAACACCGTCGGCTTCGGCAACGACGCCGCGCTCTACTCCGCCGTCATCACCGGCGCCGTCAACGTCCTCTCCACGGTGGTGTCGATTTACTCCGTCGATAAATTGGGGCGGCGCTTGCTGCTGCTGGAGGCCGGAGTTCAGATGTTCATTTCTCAGGTTGGTATTTTTAAAATTTCCCATTACTTATGGCAATAATTTATTTAAAAATATATATAATTAAATATTTTTTAAAAATAAAATATCATACCCTTTCTTATTCAAATTTATTTTTTTAATTATTATTTAAATTTATTCAATTTTTTAAATAAAAAAATACAATTTATTCTACGTTTTCTTTGCTTTAAAATAAAATTTTTTATTTTAACTTATTTCTTTTAAAATTTGTAGTCGATCAAATTAATACATAATTGGATGACGGAGGGAGTACTATTAATTTTTTTTTAATTTGTATTACTTTTAAATAATTTTAAAAGTTGGATCCGGCTTACTCATGTGGGGGTTGGCCCGGTCCATTTTAATTAACTTACTTAGGTTTAATAGTAATTAACCGTAATTTGATAAAGTCATTGTATTTTAAAAATTGCATAACGTTCAATATAATTCAACAAACGTTGCATGAAACTTATCTGTTATGCAAAAAAGTATATATAGAAAATCATTTTTTCATTAAAAAAAATATAAAAATGAGTTCGATACGACGTTTATGAAAATATAAGGGGACGTCATGTAATTTTTACGTTCCAAAATCACATGATAGTTACAAGCAATTTTATCCAAAAATATACTATTTTTTGGTATAAAATATTAGTTTATTTATTGTATTTTTTTCTCTCAAAATGTAATACAGATAGTTATTGCGATTGTATTGGGGATCAAAGTTAAGGATCACACCGACAATCTCCATCACGGATACGCGATATTCGTGGTGATATTGATCTGCACATTCGTGTCGTCGTTCGCATGGTCATGGGGGCCATTAGGGTGGCTGATTCCGAGCGAGACGTTCCCGTTAGAGACACGGTCGGCAGGGCAGAGCGTGACGGTCTGTGTGAATCTTCTGTTTACGTTTGTGATCGCACAGGCGTTTCTGTCGATGTTGTGCCATTTCAAGTACGGGATTTTTTTGTTCTTCTCCGGGTGGGTTCTAGTGATGTCGTTCTTCGTGTTGTTCTTGGTGCCGGAGACGAAGAATGTGCCGATCGAGGAGATGACGGATAGGGTGTGGGCGAAGCATTGGCTATGGAAGAGGTTTATGGATGGATATGACGTGGATGAGGAGAACGGGAAGAAATGGAATTCCGAGTTGTGAGAGGTTAATTGGATTAGTGACACAATACGTTGTATTACTGTGTAAAAGTTGTATTGGCGCGATAAATACTTCGTTGAATTTGTGCCAATTTTAGTATATTGGCGCGATTTTTTACGCTGTAACTTTAATTGACGGTAAAAAAATAATTTATAGAGATAGTCATATATGTAGTGTGTGTATGCATGCAGTAAGAAAATTGGAATTTATAGAAATGAGAGGTTTATTTCAATTTATAAATTATTACATAAAATATATAATTTTTTTTTATAAATTATTACATAAAAATTTTATTTAATTCAAAAGAGAAAAAAAAAATTTCTTATTTATTTTCAATAAATTATTCCCTTCATTAGATAATTTTAGTCTCGTTCTTTTGTATTTTTATAAAAAATTGAAACTAAAATTTTCAAACAGAAAAATATTTGTTATTATTTCTATTTTTAAATGTCTTAAATATATAGTTTTTACATTATACTTTTTAATTATTATCTTACACTCTTGTTGATATAATTTATAAAATTCTAATAAAAAAAATAAGAATGAACTAGTAAAAAACTATAAAAATTATATCATCTAAAAACTTTGTATTGAACAAATTAGCAAATAATTTATAACGAAATGTAATACTGTGCGTATGTTACTTTCGCCTCTAAATGTCACATTTATTTTTATGTTATTGTACTTAATATTAAAAAATATTATTATATTTATATAATTTTTTTTACAATATCTTTCTACTAGTATTATAAGACACTAATGAACGAGAATCGATTTTCGAAAAATGGATTGAGTTAATCTTAATTTGTACACGTTTTAATATAATAATTAATATTCAAATATCAATACGTAAAAAGTAAATAAGGAGGTAGTATATATTAACATAATATTAAATTAATTTATACTTTATTCATTCAAGAAAAAAAAGTATACATTTTATCATATTTCATAGTCCACATCAAATCTTATTTTTTTTATCCAATTTTTTAATATGTAAATAATATATCTACAATTCAATATATATTTACCAACAATCACCTTGATATATTTATTTAGTATTTTAATTTAAAATATTTTTTATATAAAATATAAAATGTTTAATGAGTAAATTAAAAAATAATATTACAATGTGATATTTATAAAATAATATAGTTTATAGTATTATTTATATCGAAAATTGTGTCCATAAAAAAATTGTTTAAATAACCAAAATTTATATATTTTTAACATAATATACTTTTAATTAAGAGCATTATATATTATTATAAATTTAAAATAATAAAATAAAAAGTAAAATAGACATAAATTTGAAGTAGGTAAATTCACATTATTAAATTTAAAATTTTATTTTTTATGTTTGGAGTTTGGAGTCAAGTGACTCCAAGCCCCCAAATATATATATATATAGAGAGAGAGAGAGAGATAGAGAGAGAGAGGGGCAAGCATGGCCATGGCTTCTTCTTCATTGTATTTGTTTGTTGTTTTAATAGTAATGGTAATAAAAATGAAAATAGTATACGGGGATATATATAAAGTCGGGGATACAGCTGGCTGGACGACCATCGGCAACATCGACTACAAACAATGGGCCAAAACTAAAACCTTCCGTCTCGGCGATATCATCGGTATCTCTCTCTATATATATATATCACTCTCGCTCTATATGTATATATTTTGCTTGTTTTGTGTCTTGAAGTTGATTAGTGTGTGTTTATTGCGAAATATTTGTAGTTTTTCTTTTTATTCATAAAATTTTCTCAAAAACAATATTTTAGATTACGTACGTTACATCAGTATATAAATTTATTTAATCTTAATTAAACTATTTAGTCATCTCAGTTTTAATCTTAATTTATAATTATTTTTATTAATACAATTATTAATTACTTATTAGTTATATTTTACATAATTCTCTTATCTATTGTAATATAGCCAAAATATATAGAAACGAAAGAGTATAATGTATTGAATTTATTTTATTTGACTTTATGTAATAGTTGTTTAATTTAATTTTTTATAAAATAAGAAGATATTTTTATAAAAAATTTATGCGTGAAAAAAAAAAAAAAAAACATTGTAAATAATGGAAAGATGAACCAATTACAATAGATACCGTAAAAAATATAATAATGACATTTTAGTAATTAAAAATAAAATATATAAATATTTTATTTGTGTGAGAATTTTATTTATATATTAAAAATAAACATACTATTAATTAGAAAAAATTAAATAAGATAAATTTTAATCAAGACAAACAAACGAGTACTTGTTTGCAAGTTTTTCAAGATTTTTTTACTTTATTATTATTATTTTTAATTTAAAATATCAATTAAAATTTTATTTTTTATTTGTATATTGTATTAAATTAATTTTATTTTTTTATTTGTATATTGTATTAAATTAATTGTATATTTAAAATATTTATTATAAAATAATTTAATAAAAATGCACGCTGTAATGATGATAGGTGGATGTGGATGTGGATGACAATAACTTCCACGTTCCCCAAATTTCTGTGGTCCTTTTTTAAAAAAGATTTTAAAATCCAAATAATATTCTAAAATGTTTATTCCAACGCAATCAAATCAATAAAGTCATTCCCACTGTATTCTTCTCATTGCCTTTATTTATTTATGAATTTTTTTAATTAAAACTTTTGCTTTTTTGCTTTTTAAGTTTTTAAAACTTTTTTTTTATTAGTATTACAAAAAAAAGTAAATGAACCGAGACCCAGACGAAGATAATATTTAAATAAAATTAGAATTAAAATCCAAAAGAATACTTCCTTTAATTCTATAGGCAGTTTGTTTTTTTTGTTGTCATTAAAAAAAAAAAAAAAAAAAAAAAACAACAACAACGTATTCTCGTTTTTTTTAAGTTAAAAATAATTACAATTTTATATATATTTTTTATTTTTATTAAAATTAGTGTTCGGTCAAATGAACACAAATTTGCATCCGGAGTAAGTATTAATTATTTTCAATATGACACAGCCGGAACGAAGTGAATAAAATCTAAAAGTGAAATAATCACAGCAGACCAAATACACGTTTTAATCATAATATAGTATGTTTACAGTATTCGAGTACAACCCTGAGTTCCACAACGTGATGCAAGTGACGCACGCCCAATTCAGGTCCTGCAACGCGTCGTCTCCAATCGCCACCCACACCACCGGCAACGACTCCATCACCATCACCACGCGCCGCCACCACTTCTTTCTCTGCGGCGTTCCCGGCCACTGCCAGGCCGGCCAGAAACTCGACATAAACGTGCGCCAACACCATTCCCGTTCCCATTCCCCTGCGGTTCCCCCCGCTGCAGTTCCTACAGTTTCTCCCAATCTCGCTAATTTCATCACCCCGACTTGTCCGATTTTTGGATCTCTCGTTTTGCGCTTTTCGATTCTGTTTTATTTCTTCAGTTAGACATTTTATTGTTACAAATGTTGCATACTAACAGCCAACTTCCCTTTTTTTCTTTCATATGATGATTTTATACCAAAAACACACAATTTCAATTGAATCAATCTTTCTAAAATTATTGTTAGATAAAATTATTATAATATAATATAATTGTAGTATATGATTATTAATTTTTTCTAAAATATTTTTAATTATAGGATAAATAAATACCAAGTTAATTATTAATAAAAAAATATATATAGCCTTTTTAGTATTATCATTTAATCATTGATGATCATTAATTATTGTTATCCACTCCTTTGAATACGTATTACACATAAAAAAATGACAAAAATGATATTTGTAAAAAAAAATTATACAAATATAAAAATATTTTTAATGTTAAATGTAGATAAAATAATATTATCTATCACCTAAAGTGAACAAATAAGAATAATAATAATAATAATAATAATAATACATTAGTTTACCATAAATTACAATTTCACCTACAAGTGTTTTAATGAATAGATATAACACTTCTTAAACATCTTATCTTATGTTCATATGGAATTTAAATATTTAATTTCAATTTTTTACTATAAAATAATCGCAATTTCCAAAATCATTATTTTTCATACAAAATATTACACCAAAATAACTATTCAAGATAAATCAAAACCAAAACTCCCTTAAGAAAACACATCACTATATATGAATGGAGAACGCAAACAATGTCTCAAGCATTAGATCTAAAAACACAAACATTTATTTTTGTATTACTTCTTATCTAAAACATTAGATCTAAAATCATTGTAAATTAAACTCATTGCATCATCGACTATCTATTTCAATTCAAATATTTACTATTTCTTAAACACATCTAAACAAACCCCCGAATGACAAAACAGTCATCTTTCCCAGCAGTTGATTAAATTTTGTATATTCATAGAGTGGAGAACAAAAACGATGACCAATTTATATGAACATACATAGATAAGAGAGCATCTAGAGCACACACACAACAGGAGTTGTACAAGATTCTTACCGAAGTGGATCTCTCTGTCCAGTCTTTTCCGTAAACAAAAGAAACAATATCGGGAGGATCATAATAAAATCGGGTAATAGACAGCAGACGAGACGAAGAACACAGTCAGGTTGAGGCACAGGTAGCATGGAGTTTTTTTATCACCAATAATTTAGAACAGTTCCATAAGTTGATGAGCAACATCTGTGTATCATATACAAAGATATGAACAAACATTAGTCTTGAATAGAGAAATATGAAATGTCAGTGTAATCAAATGAAAATATGGAAAGATCGAAACAAACTGTACTATGAGCAGCACCTATTGCTTGGTTGTGTTTACAAAACACAAATGTTCACTATTCGTCTGCAATAATTCTAGAGTCTCTCTAAAAATATTACATCTGTGCATCTATTTTTTATTTAGAATATAACAATTATAATCTATTTTCAGCCAAAATACTCACCAAACAATTATTTATATCACATCAAAAAACTAATTCGATTCAAAATTTTACTGTTCCAAAAACACACAAAAACATATCCAAACAAACTACTCCCTCCGTCTGACTTACCATGTCCACCTTTTTATTTTCTTCCGTCCCACTTATTTTGTCCTTTTCTTTTTTGGAAAAGAATTATACACCTTTATCTTATTTTAAATTTTTTAATTTATAATTTTTTTTATTATATAAAAATTATTTTAATTAATACATTTTTAATTATTTACTAATTATACCTCTCATAAATTTCCGTATCTACAGTAAGACAGACATGATAGCAGGGACAAAAGGAGTACTATGGACACAACCGGACCATCTTAAATTTTTTATAAGATAGTCTACGAATCTCAATGTAATTCAAACCTAAATGCAAGGGCAAATATGTTAAAGCTATCGAAATTACACCACCTAAAAAACTGTGCAAAAAGTAAAACATAGCAAATTTATTGGTACGGAGGGAGGATAATATATGGTTTAAATAATATACTTAATTAAACTCAGAAGAGTAGAAGTGCTCACCTTTAAGCACAGACGGTGGGGTATGGAACTCATTCCATATCGCATGGCATGAATCAAGATTCATATTTAAGAATTTCCCGGCTAGGTATGCTGCACCGGCAGCTATCTGGTGAGGTTTAAACTGAAGCCAGAGGGAGCTTCTAAGCCTGAAAAAGTAAACTTGCTTTTAGAATAAGACCATCAATGTGTCGAACAGGACAAAAGGAGAGGTAAAGCAAACCATTTGATGCAACACCAACAACAGAACCGACATGATATCATGCTGTTTGAATGTATTTGCCACCATCACAAAAACAGTTATGCACAGAAAATAAATAAATTTACGATTTTTTCAGTCTAACAAAAATCAAATAGATTAACCGAAGTGATTTTTCCCTTACCAACTAATAGGCAGCAGCCAAGTAGGAAAAACCCAAATTCCTCTGCAGAATGTTGATAGATATCCCAATATTAAACATGTCACACCATCTAAAGTAATATCACTTCAAGTCCAATCTCGGTTGCCAAAGTGAACCAACACCATGCTGATTTGAGTGAAGATTGCAGCAAGTTTAACCTTCCCATGGAAGATCTAAATTTCTTCAAAACAATTGTAATTTTTTGTGGCTCGCTACATGCAAACCTCCATTGGACTATTCTAATCCTATAGACAGCATAGCTTCCAGAAGAAAAAGGAAACATTTGTGGAATTCCCAAATTAATTTTTTCAATTGCTACAGCAGTGCAGTATTTTTTTGCCATTTGTCGTATCAAACTGAGAATCCAGCCCTTTTCTAGGGCTGTGGTGTAGTGTGTAACATAACATTTGATGTGGCTATCCATTATCAACATAACACACACATGAACTTAGAGAAACGTATCCTCAAAAACAAACAAAACAGAATCTCGCTGATATTAACACTTAAAATGTGTGTGCTCTGTTCCCAAGAAGTTGCAAACTCATCAGATCAAGGGTTCTTTGTATGAATTTGCAGCAATAGTTACAGAACATAAAACTTTGGGTTCCTTGAACCGGAAGCCTGAGCATACAGGTGATTACTCCAATTAGTGAAATTCCCAACCAAATTATCAAAAGATGCATTTAACAACCCATATAGTAACTGTGGCTTAAAAACAGAAATGGACAAAATATTTAATAAAATTGCAACTTTTTCCTAGTAAGTGTATCTAAAACACCAGCACCGTAACAAGAAAGAGTGCTCACAAAACAAGTACCTTCTGTATTAAAATTTGTAAAGTTCACTGGCATAGTACATAAATCTACAAGCAAAAGATACTTCAGACATATAGCTCGTATAATCAAGTAAAACATGATCTGTTATAATAAAAGATGTCTTTAATTGGTGGTACAAAATAAACTGATTTGAGGAAAGCAACAATGCATTGGAAAATAACATATCTCAGAATCACATCTTGGTTTGGACATTGCTAAAAAAAAAGACAGGTCGTGCAACCCCACAAATTGTTTTTCTTCATACAATATATATATTCTCTTTCAAGGAAAGTACAGATTTATTAATAGGGAGAGACTGATAGAATCCCAAAGCTACAACCAAATAGAGGGCTCAACTCAATATTTTCCCTAGAGTTATATATCTAGAATAGTATTAAACTTAGAAATGAGACACGGCACCTATTAGAAATTCCTACTGCACATAAGGAAAAAATAACAGGGTCGAGGACACATTCTTCTTGCATTCACCACCCAAACATAAGAGAAATGATCAGACAGGGTCCTATAATACTCTGAGAAGGCAAAACATAAAACTTAAAATCCTATCTACCAAGGACTATTGGACGAAAACATGTAGATGAAGCATAAGTCTTTCTCCTATCTATGTCAAGGAGTGTTTTAACTCCCATTTTCACTTCCTACTGAAACTGGGTGATAGTAATCCTACTTCCTTTGTCAATTATACCTTCATTTCTGTATGAAGAGAGGATTTCATCTATCTATCCTCACTAACGTTTAACATGACTAAAAGAAAGAAATCTCAAAACCTAAGATCATTCAAAATGAGCACTGGAAAAAATCCAGATAACATTGGCTCTAAAGTAAGAACATGAGCAAGACACTGCCAATTTCACTTTCAACAGCCGGAACACTGACTCATCCAATCTCCATTTTTGAGGCTGCGGTTGTAAATATTCATATTTTCTTACTCTGGAAGCTTTAAGTACCAAACAAATATCTGGCATCCAAGCTATTCAGCATTTACTATAGAGTTATAGAAAACAAGTCAATTGATTTTAATTAAAGTCAGAGGGCTACAAAAAGAATAGGATTAGGAAATCTAGAGCATCCTTAAGTGAATGGAAGGGTTAAAGCTGACGGGAAAGAACATTGGAGCAAGGAATTTGGAAAAAAAATGATTTGGAACTGACTGGTCAGTCACACCATCATCAACAACAGGAATCAGCTCTGCTGAACGATTAACAAATCATTCAGCCAGATTATAGGAATAAGATATGGTAAATGGGTGAAAGAAGTGGACGCTCGTCCACATAAAATTTCATTGGACATAGATGTCCGTGTGGAAACATATGGTTAATTGATCCATGTACTACTTATAGCTCGTAAGCATGTCATTAAGGAGTGTCAGCATGGAAAAGGCAACCACATGATATCATTACTTCAACTTCAGATGAAAAACAAAACATTCCATGCACAGCACATCAACCGCCAGCTATTAATTTCAAAAGGTGTGCATGCTAGTCCTCTATAGATCCTGCAAGTATATGCCAATCCAGAAAAATCAATATCATATGCTAGAATGAATGCAGAGAAAACAGGAGAAGATTAGCACAAAGAAATTCATACTGTTATTCAAGAATCAAAAAATTCAATGCAAAATCTCACTTATGTTCCTGTTCAATGAAAGAGCGTATTGACCCCAATACATGGGCAATTATGCGAAAGCCCATAATCTAAATCTGGCGTAATATCTGGGCAATCATAGCATATATTTGCCCAGTAATATTGAGTGTTTGCGCTGAAATACAGTTGTTAGATGAGTGGCACGTATAGCAGATTTCATCACATATCAAAACACTCAAATTGATGAACTTACCCTTCACTGACAAAGTTCAGTGCCAGATTTACTAAGAGCGACTGTGAAAAGCCTAACTTCTGAAGAGTATCCGTCAACGAATCGTAAGGATGCTGAACATTTAGCTCAAAATTTAAGGTCGTTAAGACCAGTTGCTCTGCCTCAGTGATCCTTTCTCGATATTGTTCAAACCAATCCTGTTAAAACCAAATAATCCATAAGAGCGTTAATTCCATAATCTTGGATTGAAGGAAAAAAAAAAAAAGATTTCCCACATTCAATGAATAATTGAGTTTTTCATATAGTTTAAAAAGTATAAATATAGTTTAACCTCACATGCATCTTAAATGTTGCTCCATAAGTAAACCACGTGCTGTGTAATGTGTATTCAAACTTTTGCAGATCGTGGATATCCAAAGAAAGTGGAAATAGAAGAGCATTGAGAAACGTAAGGAACTTTCAATGAAAAATAGGCACAAATATGTTACCAAAAAATTGAGGTATAATTTATATAAGAGTTGATCAACAAGCTTGCATTCAACTTTGAGAATATTAATATGCGATTTATTGTAAAATGGACACAGGTTGAAGAAAAGAGGGCCCTCACTATGGGCAGCATATATGATAGAATAGTGAAGTCCTGCTTGTGGAGAGTTTCACATGACACTCTTAGTACGTCATTCAGAGGGCGCGGTGTCTCCTCAGACTTTGAAGCAAGGAAAAGCACGGCAGTGGCTATCATCTGCAACAGAGAACAGATCACTTAATTAGCTCTTCAAATTCGAAAGGAGAAGTTTCTGAAATTCATTTATAAAATATAAAATACTAGATTCATGGTATAGAAACTCACAAATCTATCATGAGCAGCATGAGAACGGCGAAGAAAGAATCGGTGGCAAAGAACCATGGCAGTGGCAATAGTTGTTTGTGGCCTGAAATTGAATTTGTTTAAAAAAATTGTCAGCTTAATATCACAGTTAGCAATACAAATATAGCACAATTTCCCCCATGCAATAACGTATACTGTATTTAATCTTAATATAATTTCTTAAGCTAAATGTAAATATTTGAAAGATAGAGTGGTCATACAGATCAAGCCTAACTCCGAGGTTCTGAAGGAAAGCACAGTATGAGTATCTCAGATGCGCCTCATGTAGCGGATCAATTCCATCTCTTCTAGAAGGAGAGCATCTCTCTATCTCATCCCTCGACATAAAAACTACCTCATCATCCTCAAACTTTGACCGATCACGCTTGCACGAAGTTGAACTGTAACTGACAGCATTAAACCTGGGCGCAGCACCAGAAGCTGAAGTGTGGCAGACTATCCGGTCATTGCAATAAGATTCATCAGGTTTCGGATGTTCACACCTATCAACATTATTTAACAAAATGCTTTTGTGTTCATATTGGTGTTGATAATGTCTACCAGTGCTTTCGCTAGAAAAGGCTGAAATCTTTCTCCTTTTGGAAGGCGGCACTACGGAGTCAGGATAAGCGTGGAAATTATAGCCCCCTTCCAGCATATCATTCTTAGTAAAATCTTGAAAATTATAAAGATTATTTCCACCTAGCTTTGCACTGTAGGCATTATTATCGTAACTCCAATAACCATTCGCTGCAGCAATCATTGTCCTCATGCCCATATTGCAGTTCCGGCCATACAATGATCTACCATCTCCTTGAAACTGGCTGTGGCCACCACGTGGCTGGTAATACTGAACAAGTGACATGATTCCTGCAAAATTCACCATCATAATATCAGTCAGTCGTGTTCTTTCTGTGAATTTTTCAAAAATTTTTACTATTCAATTAACTTTTATGCCAAAGAAACATCAAATCAAACAACATAGTTTCACTTTTTATATTGTACTAAAAATAAATTTTACTACATTTACTTATACCACATCAAACAACTATTCAAATTCAAATTCAAACCCTCAAACAAGCACACTTGATGCAGCATCAAGAACTATCTTGAGCAAAGTGTATTCCATCATTAGGTTTGGGAATTTGCAGGCATTTGTTTAGTGCTTGAAAAGACAAACTCTTAATTCAATTACCACAAGCGAGAAAATGCTAAAAGGATAAGGGTGTGTTTATTTCTGCAAAATATTCCAAACCCCCCCCCCCCCCCCCCCCAACAAACACACCGTAAATCATTCGATTGTGACTACAACGCCAAACTTGGAAACTTCAAGAAACACCTAATACCTCCAATTAGGGTCCAATCGATAGCAAGTATCAAACTCTTTTGCAATCCTTCCAACTAAAGCTAAAACTATTATAACTTCACAAAATTAACCCAATCGATTTCTTAGGGTCCATCGAAACTAGAAAATACACAAATACGTATGAATATATATATATATATGAACTCTAAGTCTCTAATCACAGAAACTGAAAATTAAGCAAGACAACAGTAAACAAATAAACATCGAAGCAATTCTACGCTTATTCTTTCAGAATCGCATCGAAATCAATTATCTAAATCCAGAAATTTTGAAAATTAATAACAATAACAGTCGATTAAATATGCTCGAACATCATCAACAAGACGAACTGAACTCAAAAAACAATTCCACCTGAATATATGATAGCAACGAGCCAAGATCTGAAGAAGATCGCCCGATTTCGAGATCAATTGCTCGTGGAAATCGAAGAAAGTGTGCCGTGCCGATAACAGGGAAAATAAAAAGGGAGAAATTTTTCTCCTCGAAAGCGTACAAGGAACGAAAACAAATTCGGTGAGTTACACGATATTTTATGTCCAAATTTTTCTTTCTAAAAACCCTTCTCTTTTTTTTTTCTTTTTTTTTTTTTTTTTTTTTAATTTTATTTTAAGTCCAGTGTTTGTTTTGGTTGGGAGATTAAGTGTCTTAATTTTATTTTAAACGTTATATTTTTATTATTTATATTTATTATTGAAGTATTAAAACAATAATTTTGTATTCAAAATATATCTACACTTGTTTATAGTCTCTTCCTCCGTATACAAAATAAAATTTACTTGTTTAAGAAATACCAGTATTTTAATTATATTGTATAGTTAAAAATAGTATAATAATATTTTTGCTCTTTTTTTTTTGTAAAAATAATGATAGTGATGTAAAGTATATTTGTGAAAAAAATATAAAATATTTACTTTGTAATTGGAAGTCTCAAAATATAAATATGTATTCTTTCTATCGGGAGTGAGGGAGTATTACATTATATAATTATTTAAATTCAAATTTTATACTATACCCAAATACAAAATTCAAGAATGTGTTTCTTTTAACATAAATTTATTAAATTTTACTATATGACTTTATATTTTTTTCTTTTATAAAGTATTTTATCAAATATTATTAAATTAACGGATAAACCGGTGCTATGCGGTATACCACCCGTATTGAATATAAAAAATATCGTATTTTCAAATACATTGTAAACTTTACGAAAAATTTCAATCATCATAATTTTCAAAATATTTTTAGTTGTTTTGTTTTATAGCATAATACCCGGGCTATGCACGAAAAGAATAAATTAAAAAGGACGCGGTCAGCGTGTCCACCTAAATGTCAACAGTCCAATTTTGATTGGATTAGACTCAACACTGGGACGTAGAAACACACTCATAGTTGTTGATAAATAAAGTAATATCATAAATTATTATTATTAATTTATTAAATTTTATTATTTTAAATATCATTTCACAAATCAAAAGTGTCAATTAAAATAAGATAAATATATTTTTTAAAAATAAAAAATTTTAAATAGTAGTATATAAATAAACTTCAACTTCTAAATATAGGACCAATAAATGAATTGCAAGTCCAAGTTAAGTTGAATATTGTAAAGTTAAGGAGGCCCAATAGGAGTAGTTCAATTTTTAAAATAGGCCTAACTATAAAGTTAAGTTGAATATTTTACTTTTACAATTAGCTATTTTTTATCAAGCAAAGTTACGTTCGGGTATTGTTTTAGTTTGAAATATATATATTTTTTGCGAGTTATTGTATATATTAATATAATATAAATACAATATATGAACTAATAATACATGCTATAGTTAACATTTATTATACACAACAATTGATTTAGCACATGACATACTCTTATACATTATACACGTAATTATAAATAAACAACATATGTTTTTATTACACGCAATATGTATTATTTGAAAAATTAATACGGTGCTGAATTTTTCAAATCAGCACAGTAACATTCCCATATTTTTTTAATGTGAATTATAAATAATTGTATTAATAATATAAAAAAATAATAATAATTCTTATTGAATTATTAATTTTTTATGAGATAATAATATACATTACTTATATTATATAGATATATACTCCTTTCGACTCATAACAAAGTATCCATTTTTCCATTTTAGTTCGTCTTATGACAAAGTATCAATTTCATTTTTTAGTAACTGTACTATCTACCTACCATTACAAATACACTTACAATATATTATACAAATGTCATTACATTTATATCACATATACTAATAAGGTTATTTTAGTCATTTTTACTTTATTCCTACTATATCATAATATAATATTAATATTTATAAAATTACGTGCAAAAAATAAATTGATACTTACTTCTGGGATGGAGTATTATATTTTTCTTATTAATATTCATTGAGATACGTATCATTCAAAAAATGATCAGATGAAAAAAATTCACGTAAACAGATCAATAGATTAAAAAAAAATTAAAGCCTCACCCTTATCTATTTTATTAGTTTTAATAAAAATATACTCCCTCTATCCCGCATGTCATGTCCATGTTGCTGTTTCCGTCCGTTCTACATACCATGTTATTTTTTTTTTTCGAAAATGATTATACACTTTAATCTCATTTTAAACTTTTTAATTTTTTTAAAAAATTTTAATTAAATTAATTAGTTATTTTAATCTTAATTTATAATTATTTATATTATAAAATAATTGTTTCCACTAATACATTTTTAATTATTTACTAACTACACCCCTCATAAAATACCGTGTCTACAGTGTAGTAGACTCGGTATCTTGGACGGAGGTAGTAATATTTTATAAATCAAAATATTTTTATATAAAATAAATAAAATCACTCTCAAACTCAAACATAATTATCTTTAGTTTTATTAAGCTCGTACAATTCAATTTTTGTATAAAATATTAAAATAACAAATCCAAGTACTAACTTCATCCTACCATAAGTAAGTATTTTTTATTTATTTTTTTATTTTTGTTTTATTCAATAAAAAATCCATATATTTGAGTAAAGTTTAACCATAATATTACATCCGTTAAGTCTAAAGTTTCATTTATTTTTTTCGTGTTGATATTTTAATATTAATTATTATATAAAAATATAGTACAAATTAATGAAAAATAGCAAAAATATTTTTATTAGTATATTATAATACTATTATAATGACATTTGTGTAAAAAATTATACAAATATAAAAATATTTTTAATATTATGTACAATTACAAAAGATAAATAAAACCCTTAGAGCCGGACGGATGGAGTATATATTATATATACCTTTAAAGGTACACTTATTTATACCAATATCAATACATCAAAACAAAATACTAAAGAACAAAAAATTCTTGCGAATAAAAATACAATCACTTACAATTTAAATATTATTATTTCGTAATTTTCTTACAAAAAAACAAATGTATAATTTATTGTCGCATTGAGAAATTGTGTAAGTAATATAAAAACAATATTTTGTATTAAATTTGTTGAAATTTTTTTGGTTGAGTAGAATATTATATATATATATACACGACTCTGGTTTAAGTCAATGATTTCAACTTGATTATATATATGAATTAGCACGAACCCGATATGATAATAAATTGATCGGGTTAGAGTTGACACTATCAACTCGAATCCGACATGATAATATGATTATAATATATTAAATATTAATTAATATATTTATTACATATGTTAAAAAATTATAATTTAATAATTAATCAACATATTAATATAAATTAAGTTCAATTTTAAATAATTCAATTTAATTCATTGTACACTTTACACTAGAACCAACAAAAACTAATATAACACTACGACATGATAAAAATAAATTGAATTTGAATTAAGAATTTTGACTTAATTATGTACACGGGTCAATATGAATCCGACACAAATATAAACGGGTCAACACGAATCCGATAGAATAATAAACATGTCATATTATGATTAAATTATTTAACTCATTTAAAGTATTCAATGCATCACGAATTGACCATTTGTCAGCCCAATATATATATATATATATATATATAGTATTGTGCCACTCGAAAATAGATGCGGTGAACAAACCTACTCCCTCCGTCCCGGAACTATAGTCTTGGTTGTGTTGAGGACGAGATTAAAAGAGTATTAATATTATATTGATAGTGGGTAAAAAGTATATGTTAAAGACATTTTTTTCCTTGTGACTGTATTAGTGTAAAAGACAGTGACAAGTGTATAATAATAATGAAAGAATAAGGATAGTTATACAGTGATATAGTTATTTATAAAAATAAAACTATTATTTTGGAAGGAACAAAAATAGTAGACAAGACTATTGTATTGGAACGAAAGGGTATTAAAATCCGAATTGATCGAAATCCCACAAATCAACATAGCCTAAAGAATTAGGGCAAATTTTGATAACAAAATCAACTTAGAAATGTTGCCATCTCTAGAGGATAATGCTCCATGGGTTGTGTGCACGTATTTATTTTCTTCATTATTGTTTGACTTAGTTGGGAAATTCAATTAATAATAATAATAATAATAAGGGTAAATTATATAACATTCATTTGTATTTTTACTAAAGACGTACAAAACATTATATGTTTTATTTGTTGCGTGAACCCTTTTTGTTAATGTAAAATTTGCACGAAACACCCTTCTTATTCAAAACTGATATTTAGTTCTAAATAAATACCTAAATTACGCAAATTTTATACAAATAAAAAGCGCAAAATATCTTAAATAATTTTTTTGCACTAAATAAATAAACAAATAATTTATTAATCCTTCATTTTTATAGTTTTTGGAGATAAATTTTATCTGATTTTTATAAAAATTATAAAAATAAATGATTGATCAATTATTTATTTATTTATTTTATTCAAAAAAATTATTTAAAATAATTTACGTTTTTTATTTGTATAAAACTTACTTAATTTAGATCTTTATTTCGAATCAAACATCAGTTTTGGACAATGAGGGAGATTCATGCAAACTTTCTATTAACACAAGGGAGTTTTACGCAATAAATAAAATACAGAATATTTTGTGTATTTTTAGTAAAATACAAGGATGTGTTATATAATTTACTCTAATAATAATAATAATAATAATAATTCACATGGGACGTAATTAGAGTCATGTGATCACATGTGTTGGTAGGGTTTTTTTTTTTCCTAATTAAAATTTTGATTAAGGAGCAACTGCAAAACATTAATGACCCATTAATGAACTGTTTGTTTTATTTATTACTGTAGTTTTCATGACAAGATCAAGTTTGAATACAGTTGTCACACTATATTTGTCTTTATTTGATTTGATATTGGACGTTGAACGATTTTAAGTAAGTTTTTAATTCTATTATTTATTGATTTTTTCTAACGGCCAAAAAATATGCTTATTTCGTTTACATTTTTTTGTCTTTATAATGTATTTTCTCAATATATATATATATATATTTTTAATGATGTGGGAACTCGCAGCTCCGCTATTCAAAAATGCACAT